GGAGTGAGGTTAATAAGTTTTCTCTAACCATTTTGTGATGTTGATAGTAATACTGTATCATCAGCATAACGAATTTCTGGTATTTCATGACCACCGATGTTTAGGGCATCATATTGTTCCTTGTTTATATCATCTCTTACATTTCTCATTATATTTTCGGCGTACAGGTTGAACAAATACGGTGACAGCACACATCCCTGACGGACTCCTTGCTTGATGCCAAACCAGTCTGATGTCTCTCCATCTATTCTGACTGCTGCTTGTTGGTCTTGATAGAGCATTTTAATGAGCTGCACTATATGTGATGGAAAGCCCATATTCCTCATGATTTCCCAAAGCTTCTGATGTACACAGTCAAATGCTTTTGAATAATCCACAAAACATAAGAACAGATTTACATTAAATTCTCTACACTTCTCTATTATTAAACGCATGTTGAATATATGATCTCTTGTTCCTCTTCCCTGTCTAAATCCAGCCTGAGCTACATTAATCTCTTCTTCCATTTTCTTTTGCAGTCTTCTCATTATAATTTTTAGTAGAATTTTACTTGCATGACTGATCAGGGCAATAGTTCGATAGTTTGTACATAATTTCAGGTCACCCTTTTTTGGTATTGGAATGAAGATAGTTCTCTTCCAGTCTTTTGGCCAAATACCATATTTCCATATCTTTTCACATAATGCATGATAGATTTTTATGCTTTCTTCTCCTCCCGCTTTAATCAATTCAGCTGGTATCTCATCACATCCAGGTGATTTACCATTTTTCAGGCTCCTTATTGCCCATGAAATTTCATCTAATGAAGGTTCAGGTTCTGCCTCTACTGTTACTGGTTCATGTATATCATTCATATCCTCACTGTCATTCATATCATACATTCCGCTGCAGTATTCCTGCCATCTTCCTAGAATTTGTCTAGATTCTGTTAAAGTATTTCCCAACCTGTCACAAATAACATTTAACTGAGGTTGAAAATTTCTTGTCAATAACTTCATTTCCTTGAACATTTCGTAATCTCTTCCATTTTTGTGATGCTGCTCTATTTTAATACAGCAATCTTGTACATACTGATTTTTATCCTTTCTTGTGTACTTTCTTATTTCTCGTGTAAAAAAATTTATACTTCATCCTACTATCATTGGTTTCTCCTTTCTTTTTCAGTTCTCTTCGTTGTTTTATTAGTTCTAACGTGTATGGTGTGATCCATGGTTTATGTTGCTTAGTCCTGGTGGGTATTAAGTCTTTAGCTGCTGTTATCAAGATATCCCTAGCTTGTACCGCCAGTTCATCAGGTGTCATTTCCTCTTGTACAGACATCAAGACCTCAAAACGGTTCTTCACTTCTACGTTGTATGCATCTGGTATTTTTGTGAGATCAAATCGAAATGGCCTTGGTCCTCGGGTAAGCTTTTTGAGTTTTAATTTTAGATCTGCTTCTAGTAACTGATGATCTGTATCGCAATCTGCACTTCGCAGGGTTTTTGCAGATGTTATGCTCGATCTCCATCTTCTTTGTATTAAAATGTAATCTATCTGATTTTTGGTAACACCGTCAGGGGATGTCCATGTGAAAAGCCTTCTAGGGTGTTGTTTATAAAGTGTGTTAGCTATTGTTAATTCATTTTCTATGCAAAATTCAATCAATTTTTCTCCTGTTTCATTTCTATTACCCAATCCAAATTTTCCTAAAACGTGTCTCTCATTTTCATCTCTGCCTGTACCTTCTTTAGCATTAAAATCTCCCATTATTATTATTATATCATTCTGATCAATTTTATTTAATGTGTCTTGCAGTATGGCATAAAAATCTTCAATTTCGCCCTCCTCTGCTGTTGAAGTTGGTGCATATACCTGCATGAAAGTTATGTTTTTTGGACGGCCTTTAAGTCTGATAGTTAGGATTCTATCACTAACTGGATTATATCCCATAATAGCTTTTGCTGTTGTTTTATCTAAACAAAATGCCACTCCGCTCTGGCCTCTTACATCTCTACCAGAATATACGAAAAAGCTTCCATATTCATTGATAAAATGTCCCTTGCCACTCCAACGATGTTCACAAATTCCTAAGATCTGAATATTTAATCTTTCAATCTCATCACATACTACTTTAAGCTTTCCTTCATACAGACTTCTCACATTCCACGTTCCTATTCGCATTCTGTTTCTTAGTCTGACACAGTGGATTTCCTTGGTAACACAGTCAGGATTAACTCCGTCATCACGATTACTAGTACCGACCCCTGTATCACACTCTTCCCCAGTGTTATCTGATCTGCCTGGCCTGGGGGTCTCGCCACCAGATCTCTTCTGTGTTATGTTTTCTTTCATGATTGTTATGGGTTCTTGGCAAAATTTGCAGAAGGTAGTTTGCCATTGCTTTCCTCCTGAGCAGTGACTATACTAGTCGGTGGCCATAGCCATTGTCTCTACTGATGAGATCATCTGCCTATCGCCGCAGAGTGCAGACCATAACCAACAATACCTGTCGGCTGCTCTTACACTCCATCCACCACCTGCTTCCATGGCTTCACGTAACCCTGATTGGGGGGCTAAACGGGTACTCCACCTTGCCCAAGGGTGTCCCGTAGACTAGCGGAGGAAAGGAGGCGTCTTACTTCTCCTTTGATAGGGGATACCCCTACCCCGCTAACCATGAATAGGAAATAACTTAACTAAAAACCGACTGAAAAGACAAAGCTTTCACCATCTATCAAAACTGCACTACGCAAAAAACAGTGACATCCTTTCTAAAGATCTTTCAACGTGGGAAATGATCCAGGCGTGTAACCTGCATCTACAGCCTAACTGCATAGTCACAACAACAATTCCAGGCATCGAAAAAAAGGCTAAAGAATGTGACCTAGTACTGCATTCAACGACTCTTGAACATGTCTACACTTCTTATCCAAAACCCGAATGGACACACGTATACTCAGATAGATCACTGGAGGGAGTAGGAGAAAAACGGAAGAGCTGGATCGGTCATCATGCTGCAAGATGGAACCACATTAGTAACGTCATGCGCCCACGGAAGACTCTTAACAAACTTCAGACAGAGCAGCAAGTAATTACTGGTGCAACCAAAGTGCTGGAGGAAACGCGAAATTATTTTTGCCAGCTGGGACCGCCTCTGAGACATCAACCAATGTCTTCGGGCCCAGCCCGTCTCTATCTTCTTCAGAATACTCATTTGTCAGTGAAAAGAATGCCCGAGTGAAGGTCCGTGCACCCAGCCAGGTTATTGTTTTAGTTACTGCATGTGACTCCGGAAGATAGAGAAGGGCTGGATCCAAGGACTGTGGTTGGAGTCTCTAAACGGTCGGGACTGACGCATATTTTGGTTTCATATGTGTGCCAGGGCAGGCGGGTTTGCAATGAAATTAGCAAGCTGATTGGCTTCTCTCCCAAAGCTGATTTCTCAGGGTTTAAGGTTAGTTGCGTATACAGGACGTTGTAGAACCAACCGTAACAGCCCCTGGCTATTGTGTGGTTTTTCTAGGCAAATTTACGTCCAGTAGTTTGCCACTGCCCCTGGAGGGTCGGCTTTCTTGATACCACTGTCGAAACCAAGGCAAGGCGCATGGCCGGCAGCTTGGATCGAACCCGGCATCCCGGCATTCAAAGCGTTCGCATCGACTTAGCCACAGAGCGGATATTTCTCAGGGTTACGAGACTGAATATTGTTGTTGTAGTATATAAATACTATATAAAAACCTATCCGGGACCCAAAAGAGTTCATGAAAACTACTGCTTTCAATATCAACAGCTAAAAAAAAAAAGATAATAATAACTGCCATGAACCAGTTAAGGAAAAGAAGGACTAATAGCCAGGGTCACCCACCGAATGCTGCACTACCAACTCCCTCCCCTAGCTCAGGTGGAAGACTTTAAGGATGCAATGATTGCACCACCCCACCAGCTCAGGTGGAAGACTGAGAATGCCATGATTGCAGCACTCCCACCAGCTCAGGTGGAAGACTTTAAGGATGCAATGATAGCACTACCCCCACCAGCTCAGGTTAGAGACATTGAGGATGCAATGATTGCACCACCCCTACCAGCTCAGGTGGAAGACTTTGAGGATGCAATGATTGCATAAATCCCACCAGCTTAGGTGGAAGACTTTGAGGATGCAATGATTGCACACACACCCCCCCCCCCCACCAGCTCAGGTGGAAGACTGAGGATGCAATGATAACACCACCCCCCCCCCCAACTAGCTCAGATTAGAGACTTTGAGGATGCAATGATTGCACCACCCCTACCAGCTCAGGTGGAAGACTTTGAGGGTGCAATGATTGCACCACCCCCCTTCCCACCCCAGCTCAGGTGAAAGACAAGAGGATGCAAGGATTGCATCACCCCACCAGGTCAGGTTGAAGACTTTGAGGATGCCATGATTGCTCAGGTGGAAGACTTTGAGGATGCAATGATTGCACCACCCCACCAGCTCAGATGGATGACTTTGAGTATACAATGATTGCATCACCCTTACCAGCTCAGGTGGAAGGCCTTCAGGATGCAATGATTGCACCACTCCCCCAGCTTAGGTGGAAGACTTTGAGGATGCAATGATTGCATCACCCTTACCAGCTCAGGTGGAAGGCCTTCAGGATGCAATGATTGCACCACTCCCCCAGCTTCGGTGGAAGACTTTAAGGATGCAATGATTGCACCACCCCACCAACTCAGGTGGAAGACAAGAGGATGCAAGGATTGCACCGCTCTCACCAGCTCAGTATAAAGACTATGAGGATGCAAGTATTGCATTACCCTCGCCTCTTCCTCCATCTCAGGTGGAAGACTATTCGGATGCAAGGATGACCCCCACCATGGCCCCCTCCTTCCAGCTGAGGTGGAAAACTATGACCTCTTTCCTGATTGTATCTCTTATTTTCACTTCTGCAGTCTTTCTCACATATCTTGTTTCTGTGATTACTAAATACTAATATTAACTAGGATGTACAATGCACAAACAAACCACAGCTTCTTACCAAGTATGCCACTGATGAATTCCGTTTCAGAATTGAGTGCTTTCTGTTTTTGTCACTGTTGAGCCAGCTGAAAAGGCCGATGAGTCTATTGGCGGATCCAGTTCTCGTGGTCTTCACAACAAAAACGGCGCGCTTCTTTCTGACAGAACTGTTTCTACTTGTGATAGAAGATCCACGAGAACTTGATTGATGAACTTCCGGACTATCGTGGGCAGTCTGAACAATACTGCTTTCTGTATCACTTTTAAGTCGTTTTACATTCAAAACTATAGAATCTCTACGGTGTCGCTGCGGTGAATCAATTCTATCAATGCTGGTCGACTCGGAAAATGGAGTTGTAATCTCTGCATTTTCTTGCATGCTACTCGGCCAATATTGAATATTTCTATCTTCCTCAAATGAGGATCGTTGATCGAAAGAAAATGAGCTATCCTGTTCAGATACATCATTTGTTTCTTCACCATTCTCTGCTTGCGTATCATCTAGTGATCGATCAGTGTACTCGGCAAAAACTATCGGGCGGCCTGTCTGAGAATGCCGTCTGACTTTATGCCGCCATACGTCACTTTTGAGCGGCTTTAGCTGCCGCACCGGAGCCCGCTCTATCAGCTGGACACTAACTGACCGTCTCCCGGGAACAGCCAGGCGCTCGCAGTAATGCATTATTTTAAATAGGAAGACCACTAAAGCCACGACATAGCAAAGGCACATCACGGCATAGTAGTGGACTCTTAGCAGACTCAAAGAACCGTAGTCATTTGCATCGTTTTTAAATGAAACGACGAGGTGGCACACATTCCTGGTCACCTATGGTAGAAAACAGTCAACAACTGATTATATTTGAAAGAAACAAGTGTCATAATCATTATTCCTTACGTCCTTTTTAGGATGAAATTTTTTGTTATTAGAAGCCCCACCCTGGCTTTTGCCAGCGGCCGCAATATAGGCAGGCCATAAATTTGGCTAATTGTCTGACCGCGGTTTCTGGGACCTCTCCACGGTGATCCTCATCCACATGGTGGCACACTTGTTTTATCTGGTGTTTATCGCTTGTGTGATGTCCTAGTGGGGTAGAAAGTCAGTCAGTCAGACAAGTGTTATGGACTCACAGGAAGAAACCACCAACATGCACACAAGAACGTTTTGTATGAAATGTTTCTTTATGCAGATCGAGACTGCCTCGTGTAAGCCTCTTCACCTACCAATAGTATGAATGCTTGTGTGTGTGTGTGTGTGTGTGTGTGTGTAATTGTGTGTGTGTCAGTGTAAGTGTGTGTGTGTGTGTGTGTGTGTGTAGATTAGACAAAGCATGAACGGATTCCATTATTAAACTGTCTTAAATGCATGAAGTTATAAATATATATATATATACATAATTATACATATATATATATATATATATATATATATATATATATATATATATATATATATATATATATATATATATATATATATATATATATATATATATATATTAGCTGTACCCGTACGCGTTGCTGTGGTCCAGAATGATGAAATGGAAAAGAAAGAAAAAAGCTCTCAGCTAACAGTGTCTATCGTATCCCCCCCCCCCCCCCCCCCTTAACTTTCTCCCTCGACACAGTCATATCTCCCTCTCCGAAGGATTGAAAAATCATCCCTGGCGAAATTATTAAAAAAGAAATAGTTAATAAATGAGAACTGTAAAATAATGTTGTAAGCTCTCTCAGCTAACTGTGTCTGGCATAACCCCCCTTCCCCTAGTCATATCTCCCTTTCCGAAGGATTTAAAAATCATCACCTGGCGAAGTTATTAAAATAGAAATAATTAAGACATGAGAACTTTAAAATAATGTTTAAGCTCTCTCAGTTAACAGTGTCTGGCATCAACCCCCCTCCCCCCTCCACCCCCAACTAATTATATCATCCTGTTCGAAGGATGGGAAAGTCATCATCTGACGAAATATTGTAAGTAAATTGAGCTTGGCATCTGTGTCCACCCAGACTAAAATGGGTAACATTAATTTGTACTGAGAAGTAAATGTGGCCAGTGTAACAGCTACCACATCACCTATCCAGTACCAGTACTACTGCTACCACTACCACCACCACCATCACAACAACAACAAAAACTGTAACTACAGTCTGTGTAGGTTGATGTAGCCAGAGGCGTTAGCGCCGCATGCTGTCGCCACGGACTGTTTAGTTTAATTTTGCCCCCGACATAGAAAAAAAAAACTTCATCATCTAACCATTGATGGAACCCACAGTAATAAGTACACTATACTCACAAATAGCGGAGAAAAATACCCCCGTACCCGTCATTTTTCCCTCTCCAAAGGGACGAATTTTAACTGACCGGGGCATCCGTGTCGACCCAAACTTAACTGGACTGTAAGCCGTCTTAGTTAACAGTATCTGTCATCGCCGAATAGTTCTTGATCGAGGGAAGCGTCGCGGGAGGCTAATTGGGACTTTACTGAAACCGGATGTCTTTAGGCAAAAGGTGCAAATATCGCAGCCTAGATGTAAATCACAACACAACGTGACAACCACCTTTTTAAGGAAAAACGAACATGTATCACCCAGCTGGGAATCGAACACCGGTTACCCGCGTGAAGGGTGGAATACTTATAACTATACTACCGAAGGCTGAAGAGTTTGGGTCAGATATCACAACCTAGCTGAAAACCACAACACAACGTGCCAAAGGCCCTCTCAAGGGCGAACAAAGATTACCCGTGACAAGACTATTGAGCATCACATCGCCGCTATCGCAGGCTAGCTGTAAACCCCAAAACCAAAAAAGGCGTAGATATCGCAGCCTAGCTATAAACCACAACACAACGTGCCAGCCGCCCAGTTAAGGGCCCCAAAAAATATTATATTACCTAGCGGGGAATCGAACGTGGGTCACCCGCATGATAGGCAGCATATTTACAACTGCGCTACCACGGACTCAAGTAGTTGGTGGAAATGACATTGTATAATAAAGCAAAATTCAAAAAGAAATAATAGAAGTGCAGGCAAAGCTCAAGTTCAGGAACAAGACCAATGTCCAGAAGTGGGCCAACAACCAGAACTTTCCACTAGTGTCAACAGTTGGTGAATGCCAAGAAGAAAAAGTAGTAGGCTTTGAATTACCAGACAGACCGACCGACAGACAGATTAGACCGACCGACAGACAGATTAGACAGACAGACAGGCAGGCAGGCAGGCAGGCAGGCAGGCAGGCAGGCAGGCAGGCAGACAGACAGACAGACAGACAGACAGACAGACAGACAGACAGACAGACAGACAGACAGACAGACAGACAGACAGACAGACAGACAGACAGACAGACAGACAGACAGACAGACAGACAGACAGACAGACAGACAGACAGACAGACAGACAGACAGACAGACAGACAGACAGACAGACAGACAGACAGACAGACAGACAGACAGACAGATAGATAGATAGATAGATAGATAGATAGATAGATAGATAGATAGATAGATAGATAGATAGATAGATAGATAGATAGATAGATAGATAGATAGATAGATAGATAGATAGATAGATAGATAGATAGATAGATAGATAGATAGATAGATAGATAGATAGATAGATAGATAGATAATCTGGTAATCTGGTAATTTTAATTTCAGCTTCATAGCAAACGGGTCACCCCATCCTTGCTCCGCTCCTGTGCCAACGAAAAACACACAGAATGTTTATCACAGTCCCTTGTGGAAGGACTGACAAACTGCTCTCTCAGCAAATCTAGCATACACTCGCATTAAAAGCATATGGTAGCCATCCGAAGTGCTAACAGAAACAGTCCAACGTTAGAAATGCAGTTCATCATTGATGGTAGCAGAAGTCATTAAAAGATCAGCAGTTACACAAACGATCAATTTTAATCAAATAATGGCCCCACTAACATTGCGACAACCGGCATTGCGCCATTTTCTGAATCTACAAATCACACCACCACGTTGGTCAGTCGAAAAACATTCCAAATGAAATCCGCAGCTCACAGTGTCACGCCATGCACTCAACTCAGAGGCTGGGCAACGAAACTATATACTTCCAGTCTACAAACAGAGCAAAAAAGCAACGGCCACAGTCTGGCAGAAGCAAAAATGTTTGCTCAGGCTCAAAACAGTGGCAGTGCCTAGTGTCCATTTGGACCTGAAGCATTATGAGAGGGTTAATAAACGGTCACACCAGCAGTCCCTCACTATTAGCTGGGGAAGGGATTTAGGACATTACATCCACCAGCAAGCGTCGCCCCAACAACGACCTGACTGCCTTCGTTAACGACTGTTCACCCAACAGCCATGCAGTTCTTTGGCACGAAGGAGACACCTTGAACTTGGGTTTCGGACTGCCGACTCCCTACACGAAGATATATGTGTGCTACTGGTGTCCCGTAGCCAAAATACTATCTTACTGTATTACTAACATTCAGGACTGCCGTAGAAAGGTGCACCCAAGGGACGGTTTCAGAAAGAGATGCATACTTGTGGTAGGGTAACATTGCTTGAAAAATGTATTCTGCAAGCCATCAGGGGTTGCATTCACATTTTCTAGGATAGATAGATAGACAGACCGACCGACCGACCGACCGACCGACCGACCGACCGACCGACCGACCGACCGACCGACCGACCGACCGACCGACCGACCGACCGACCGACAGACAGACAGACAGACAGACAGACAGACAGACAGACAGACAGACAGACAGACAGACAGACAGATAGATCGTGGCGCCAAGTCAATACGTTGTAGCACCAGAATCACAAAGTCAACAACTACAAAATTCCAACTGTCAACGGTCAATCAAACTGTTTCTTACCCCATCTTCTTCATTTTTCACAGCCCCTATGTCGAAGAGGAAAAATGCCGGAAGTGAGAACACGAAGGCCAGCACACAGTTGCACACCATCATCCGGTTAACGTTGGCTTGGACGTCTGCGTAACTTCATCGGAAGACCAATGGGAGAATCAGACTGTTACTCCATGCATTTCACTTGGGAACCAGTCTAATCAATAGTGACCTTGGCTTCCAGGGCGACCCAATTTTACACGGGAACCAGGTCAAGACGTGGGCGTAATGCTGACCACGACATCCACCCAGTTCCGATTGGTCTATAAAATATAGGTATAGGTCCTGGCTGACCACGGTGAGGTGTTAACAGGTCTTGATCAGTATAAGCTCTGGTTTCGCTGCACCGCCACTTGTAAATCAGCAGTTCTGCATTTCATTTGGCTTCTGATTACTGCTTCTTCTTCGCATTCACCAGCTGTAAACACAGGCGGAAGGTTATGGTTGTTCATCCCCTCCTGGACTTTGGTCTTGTTCAAGAACTTGAGTTCTACGTACACATCCGTTTTGACTTTTTTTATGCAGGCTGTTGGTTCCTTGCCTCTCAGGCAGGTGCACTCTGACATTAAAAGAAACACCCATAATTAGTCGCCTCCTACGTCATGCTCGGTAGAGGGACAGTCTATCCTCTGCTCTCTTAAACATTGCCCCCGCAACCTACACGGGAAGTTTCTTTTACCTGTTAAATCAGTTTATCGTCTTTGTTAATTAAATGCGGTCTCTTCCATATTTGCACTTTTAACTCAGTAACATCAGTTGGTTTGGACATGTGTCAAAACTGGCCAAGGCTCTGGTGTTCATCCACTTCTCCAATGTAATCTAGTTAGAGGGCCTGAGTTTTGCGTGCACATCTTTTTTACAGAGCTGGTTTATTTGTTAGCAGACTTCTGGTTCCTCTCCTTTCAGGCAGATGCACTCCGACTTCGAAGGACACATTTCTAAGTAGTAGACTCTTATGACATGCTTGGTAGGGGGCAGTGGGTCTATTCTTTTTGCTTCTCTTGGTTACTGAAGAATGGGACGGAGCAGGTGGGGGAATTTATCCATTCTTTTTGTTTCCTACAATGGAGCCCCTAAACCCACACGGGGATGTAAATCAATCAATAACAGATGTTGTGAGGGCCCTTTTGGAGCAAGTAACAGTACGGAGGCACAAATGGATCATTGCGGATCTGGCCGACGGTCAACAGACAAGGGAAAGGCGAGACGGATATACAATCAGACAGTTACTAGTGCAATCAGAACTGGAACTCTTCGCTTGCTGCTGAAGATGGGGACGAGGCGCTTAAAGGAGTGTCCCGGCTGCTGTGATTGTCGTATCTCAGTTCAACATTCAATAATAGACGCAGAAGTGCAGAGCCGCACACAGTGGTGTACCAAGATCGGGATCGACACTGGTAAGACCTATCTACACACCTCTGCGATCATCCTAGCATAAGGTTGCCAGCTGGGAGCCTGGCCAACAAAGTTATGATCGATGGTGCCTTTGAAGCTCGGGTGCATTTACTTGAGAGCTGGGGGACAAACAGTCTGTGCTCAAATACGCTCGATCCATAAAACGAATGTGCACGCAACACTTAAGTCCTGGAATCAGTCAATATAAGTCCAGAGATGCAGGCACGCACAACCTGGCGTTTTCGTCGGGGTTAACAACCACTGAACTCGAACAAGGGGAGGAGGAGGAGGAAAAAGAAGAGGAAGAAGAAGAAGAAGAAGAAGAAGAAGAAGAAGAAGAAGAAGAAGAAGAAGAAGAAGAAGAAGAAGAAGAAGAAGAAGAAGAAGAAGAAGAAGAAGAGAAGAAGAAGAAGAAGAAGAAAAAGAAGAAGAAGAAGAAGAAAAAGAAGAAGAAGAAGAAGAGGAGGAGGAGGAGGAGGAGGAAGAAGAAGAAGAAGAAGAAGAAGAAGAAGAAGAAGAAGAAGAAGAAGAAGAAGAAGAAGAAGAAGAAGAAGAAGAAGAAGAAGAAGAAGAAGAAGAAGAAGAAGAAGAAGAAGAAGGAGGAGGAGGAGGAGGAGGAGGAGGAGGAGGAGGAGGAGGATGAAGAAGAAGAAGAAGAAGAAGAAGAAGAAGAAGAAGAAGAAGAAGAAGAAGAAGAAGAAGAAGAAGAAGAAGAAGAAGAAGAGAAGAAGAAGAAGAAGAAGAAGAAGAAAAGGAAGAAGAAGAAGAGAAAGAAGAAGAAGAAGAAGAAGAAGAAGAAGAAGAAGAAGAAGAAGAAGAAGAAGAAGAAGAAGAAGAAGAAGAAGAAGAAGAAGAAGAAGAAGAAGAAGAAGAAGAAGAAGAAGAAGAAGAAGAAGAAGAAGAAGAAAAAGAAGAAGAATGGAAAAGGAAGAGGAGGAGGAGGAAATGAAGGTAGACGGGGAGTGTAGGAGGAGGAGGACGGTAATGACGGTAATAATAGTAATCATGTTGATGATGATTACGACGGCGATAATAATAATAATATTCATCATCAATAACACAAACTGAAAATGAAAATATTTGAATCGTAAAAACATAAACCTTGCCATACTTTTCCTTGGAACATTTGTAACACGACCGGACGTACCTACCTAACCCTCCTAGGTAACTCGAAGCAATATGCCGCCAACGTCAAGTGAGATGTATATATAATTATATGTCTAATAAACTCCATTGTTTTGCATACAGCTCCGTAATTTACCAAGCTGGATAACCAAAAAAAAAAAAAAAAAAGGACAGATTTAATACTTGTTTAAGTATCTATCCATTTTCTTTATTATTCATCGTCTGAAAACTCAGACCCTGGCACAAAGTCAAAATCCAAACAACCAGGACTTTCCGCCGGAGCTTTCAGGTGGTGAACAAAGAAGACGTAGGAAGGTCTTAAGTTTACAAACTCACAATAGAGGTTATAGATGCTCAATATGGCCACTGTCTGCTGCTCGGAAGGCATCTAAGCAGTAGACGAACTCGTTCTATACAAAGATGCATCATTTGCCTAAATTCACTGCAGCTGTGATAATGTTCTGTAAGTTATGCAACTGAGCTATAGCGGTAGTTTTTGAAACCTTACACCTAGGGCTGTACCGAATAGTGGTTTTCACTATTCGGCCGAATACGAATAGTGAGACCAACTATTCGGCCAAATACGAATACGAATAGTGTATCATCATCATCAGGTGCCTAGCTGACTGGTGTGGCGATTTTGCCTCGCCACAATCTGCGATCTCCTGCAGCATGTATCAGTTTGTGTGCTGACACACCTCCATGACATGCAACGACTGTCAAGAATCTTCTCTCGTTGTCTTTTCCTATCTCTCCTTCCACGAATCTTTCCAGTGGTCACCACATGTTCCATTTTCACTCCCGCCTCTTTCAAAACCTAGTGGTTGCTTTTTTTAGGCTGTCCAAGGTATTTTAAGCATTGTTCTGTAAAACCACATCTCTGAGGCCTCAAAAAATTGTTTGGCCTGGCTACCGATTGTCCAGGACTCATAGCCATATGTTAAAACTGTATGTATGTAGCAAGCAAGACAACGATATATTGCACAAGATGTTCTTTTTTTTTTTCTTTTTTTTTATAAAATGCAGTTTTTGCCTGTCCTATTTTGTTTTTTATTTTAGTAATGCATCTTTCTTCTGATTTTATCCATGTGCCAAATTCGCATTTAAATCATTTTTAGTTCAGGCGTTCGTTCGATGTAATTTAAATGCACCTCCATATTCTCGTGTGCAATATCTTCAATTTGATTTGGGGAAAAACACCCCGAAAGAACAAAAAAATGCATGCTCTTTGTCTCTCTCTCTCTCTCTCTCTCTCTCTCTCTCTCTCTCTCTCTCTCTCTCTCTCTCTCTCTCACACACACACACACACACACACACACAAAGAGAGAGAGAGAGAGAGAGAGAGAGATACACTTTCAAGTTTCTTCATGCCTTCTTTAACACAACAGTAGGGATGCCTAAATCTTTCGTAGCGGGAAAAACGGCGACCCGTTTGCGTGGTAACAGCGCCTGACTCTGAGGCATTACAGCAGAGGTTCTAAAACTGGCTGCGTATGACAGGGGTGCCGCGTCGAAAAACAAGAAAAGTCGGCTATAAATTGTGACATTATTAATGAGAGTTGTTTTAGTCCATCGCAGTGTATGCAGAAATCACTATTCGTATTCGGCCCGACCGCCACTATTCGGCCGAATACCGAATAGCTAGTAGGTCCACTATTCGGCCCCGAAGCGAATACGAAGCGAATATTCGGTACAGCCCTACTTACACCTTCCCCTCTCTTTTGCGTGCAGATTAATAATAGGTAATGCATATTTAAGGAAACATACACGATTGAAAGTGTCTCCGTCATTTTGAATCTGGTAATCTAATCTGGTAATCTTAGTTTCAGCTTCATATCACACGGGTCACCCCATAGTTGCTCCGCTCCTGTGCCAACGAAAAACATACAGAATGTTTATCAGTCCCTTGTGGAAAGATTGACAGACTGCTGTCTAGCATATACACTAGCATACACACGCATTGAAAGCATACGGTAGCCATCCTAAGTGCTAACACAAACAGTCCGACATAAGAAATGCAGTTCATCATGGAAGGTAGCAGAAGTCACCAACAGATCAGCGGTTGCACACGCACACGTCATTTTGAATACTCCTGTATATGCTAACTTACTAGTCTTGATTAATATTCACATCCCTACCCGAATACACAGAAACATAAAATTTTACTCAACGAGATTGTATACACTATACAGTCATACACAAAAATGCTGTCGTTTACATACTGTCATTTAAAATCCTATATAAAGATAAGGTTTCTTTCAGACATACACACTCTTACGTGAGATCTAGGATTCATATCTGTTTGTATAATGCTACCACTGGCCCTTGATAGTTGGACAGATACTTAGTTCGCGTCTATTTTAATATTCACTCTGGCTACGTACTTTGCATGGTTAATGTGTTTGATTCTTTTACACAAGACGACTAATTTGAGTGTTGCTTGTTGCTTACATCATATGTAATGGGCCGCAAGACGACTAATTAGAGTCCTGCTGACATAAGATGTTTTGTGCTAAAAGGCCACCAATTAGAGTGTTGCTGACATCAGGTGTGCTGGGCCACAAGGCGACTAATTAGAGTGTTGCTGACATCAGACGTGTTGTGTGCCAAAAGGCGACTAATTAGAGTGTTGCTGACATCAGATGTGCTGTGCCACAAGACGACTAATTAAAAGTGTTGCTGACATCAGACGTGCTGTGTGCCAAAAGGCGCAGCTATCACAGCCAAGGTGTAAACCCCAACACATCGTGCTAACTACCCATCTGAGGATCAACAAACATCAAAAAGAATATTCTGGCACCTGAATAGTTAAGGGTTCTACGATGTCCATTATTTATTTCCTAGGCAGTCTCTGATGCTAAGTGTTTTAACTGTTTGCTTTGCATTCCGAAGATCGTTGGTTCGTTTCAGTAACTACATCATTTGGTTTTTATAGATATTCCTGAGGAACATATGGAGCCGCCGTGGTGTAGCGGCTAGACATTCGCCTGCGGATTCGAAGGGTGGGGATTAAAAACTTTGTACTGAAGCAACAGAGACCGAACCACATGCGATCAAACTGATTGCAATAAAGTCGATTCTCCCAATTCTAAACTTTCAAACGTGTTATGTGCTAGCAAAACAACATCTTACCTGAACTCATAGAAAACAGAATACGGTAGGACAATAACACACACAAGCATGTCGAGTAGAGACATCCGTCGGAAATATAGGGCATCCCTGGTTTTGTAAATCCTTGCAGTTTTGTCACCAAAAAAGAAGCAGAAACACATATTGCCAAAGACACCAATAACGATGCTTAGGATGGCTACGGGTAGGAATATCTCATGACGCTGTGACCAGTCATGTTTGGCAACCTGAGAATAGAGAAGGGAATACGATTACCGTCCAACTTCGATCAACCGTCACCGTCTCGACTGTGACGGATAACCGAATATACGGATAACAGAAAATTCTTAATACATGAACAGTGAGTTTTCACTACAGGCTTAGGGGCAAAAATAAGAATAAAATTCTTTATACCTCAATAATAAATACATGCTGTATTTAATTTTTACAAAAAGATCAGTATAAACCTCAACATAAAGAGTAATGCACAGAAATGTATTTTAATAATATACATTGGCATTACTTTAAAATATTATGTCATCCCCTTCTAAGTTTTCGAAGTTTTTGTTTGTTGATACTCACGCAATTTTGCTTAAAGACGATGACGGATAACCGAAACTGACAGTCAAACAAGTGACGGTTAATCGAAGTTGTACTGTACTTCACTAACAATAAAAGTAGTCAAGTGAGTCGACACAATAAAATATGGACAGCTAATTACATGCTTTCAAGATATATAATTAGACAGAAGGAATATAAGACGAATAAAATAATCAAGAATTAATGTCAGCTGGGGCTTAGAATGCAATCTTCGACGTTTACTAGGGCTCGATCTGGCCTACCGGCCGCCTAATTAAATAGCGCTGCCCTAATCACTCGCCTTCAGGATATGCTTGTAAAGAAGGCAGTCGATCAATTTTATATTGCCTCAAAAATGGGTAACCGGAACCCTTTTACACAAATAATAAATTTGCAAGACCCCACACCCTTCCCTACCCCACCTCGGTGCAGACTTACTGCTCCTTAGTAAGCATGTCATAAGAGGCGACTAATTAAAAATTTACTGAAATTGATTTCTGAACCAAAATTTGCAGGCATGTTAGCCTAGCCGTAAACCACAATACAACATGCAACCACAAAGCAGAAGAAGAACACAGAATCAGAAGTGGAATAATTGTTGATTTCTTTATCATGTTTCTCCGTCGATCAACCGTTGTGATCTGCAAGCAGTTAATAATGAGATACCTATTCACATATTTGTTTTCATCAACGTTAAATGTTGAGTTATGTTGAGTTTTCAGTGAAGAGCTGACTCATAGCACTCGGGACATTTCCATAGTCGCTCCGTCCTCATCTTGAGCAGCCAGCGAAAGTTCCAAAGCCGGTGGTGCTCGTAGCAGTCTGATTATATGCCTGTCTTGCCTTTCCTGTGAGTGAAGAGTGTCGACCAGCTTCCCGGGTTACTTCCAGCTGTAACATTCTGTCCAGAACGTAATGATCAGTTCGTGCCTCCGCTTGTTCACGCTCCTAAAGGGCCTTGGCCACATCTAGCTTGCTGTGCATTAATTCCTACCCAAACCATTGGTGCAAAACCAGTCAATCTGTCTGCCTGTTAATTTTCCAACACACCTGAATTCCCTGGAAAAATATCCAAAGAACGCTAAATACCTAGGACCTTTGAAGCGATGCTTGCTACTCTGCACGGAGCATGCCTGTCTCCACCTCAACATGCTTTGTTATCTGGTTACAGTCACGACATGCGTGTGTATACAGCTGGTTCTCAAGCATTTGGAAAGCAGCTGTGACTGCCTTCATCTCCATTCTCAAACTAGATGTTGTAGTATCATATTTCAGACGTTGTTCTTGCAGTTCTCATAGTTGGTAACCGTAGTCATATGGCAGTTACTGACACTGGGTTGTGAAGTGTTCTAGGTCATAATATATAAGGTGAAGACGACTGTTTCTTTCCTCGTTATTTTTTCCCCTTTTCATTAAAATTTTCACAAATATCCTATTTTTGTTTGATATCCAGTGTTACACAACACAAAAGTAACGGCATGCTATTTAGAGAGTACAGGTGCATACCATAAAGTTAAAACAATCTTTGTAGACAGTACTACTGCACACGCAAAATCAGGAGATTTAGACAGTGCTGTTGCACACCACGAAAACGGAAGTTTATGCAGTACTAAGGCACACCACAAAAACAAGAAATGTAACAATATAGATGCACCCACAAAAACAGGAGATTTAGACAGTACTGATGCATGCCCCAAAAACAAGAGATTAAGAGAGTACTGGTGCACACCACAAAAACAAGAACTGTAACAATATAGATGCAGACCACAAAAACAGGAGATTTAGACAGTACTGATGCATGCCCCCCAAAAACAAGAGATTAAGAGAGTACTGGTGCACACCACGAAAACAAGAACTGTAACAATATAGATGCACACCACAAAAACAGGAGATTTAGACAGTACTGATGCATACCCCAAAAACAAGAGATTAAGAGAGTACTGGTTCACACCACAAAAACAAGAACTGTAGGCAGTACTGATATATACCATAAAACAAGAGATTCGGGCAGTGTACTGGTGCATACCCCAAAAAGAAGAGGTTCAAATAGAAACAGGGCTTATCACAAACACACACATACACACATACAATAGAGATTTAGATAGTAGTAATGATGCAAACCACACCAGCAAAAAGAGATGCAGACATTACTAATGCACACCACAACAAAACAAGAGATTTGAAGAGTAAAAATTATGCATACCACAAAATAAGCAATTTTGACAACAGCAACACTGCACGCCACTCTAAAAGATCCATACAGTACTGAGGTACACCACAACAAAACCAGAGATGTAAGACAGAACTGGTGCACACAAGAAATATATAACTATCAGTAAAGGAAACTATTTACATGCGGTGTTTCTAGTAGTGCGATAAGATAACGTACAGCATTGCCTACTGAATGTTGCAAAGAGTAGGACATTCGTAATGACGGTTTCCCCTTCTTGTGGAGACATATGTTTTATAAATAAATGCAAACAGACATATACTGATCGCCTCTTCATTAAACCAATGAATGTCTGGTATGAATAGCTTTAACAACAACAGTGGTTTGTCAAGTCTCAGGCTGCAACGGGGAAATTTTACAATGAAATCATTACATATCAAACGTGTCCATCTTGAAACTCCAGAGTGTCGTATTCTTGTTAACAATACTGTTGTTTAGATAATTTAATATGATTTACTTAAAATTACAATTAAAATAATTTACAAAAGTCTAAACTTTAGTCTAAGGTTAGAGTTAGAGCAAGCCTCGGTTGAGTTGCGAAAGAAATTAAGTACACTACGAAATCCTAAATGCTGAGAACTTTACTGGATGTGAACGATACTGTTTTGTCACAATCGGCATCTACACCTGTTGAAAGAGGATATTGGAAAACGACATGAAAGTATCCAAGAAAAATCTCTAACTACAGTTGTAAATATTTGAACAGTTTACGCGGACTGAACTACAAGTAATGACAATACGCTTGTCGTACTGCTTCCGGTCGTGTTATATAAAAAATGTCGATGTCGTTTAAATAGAAACGAAAGAAACGCGTACTATTGAGCGATTCTGGCTTACAGTATGTAAAATATATAAGTAAAGTAACTGATCCTTTTTTATGACTTTGGCGTATCTGGTACAGAGTACTAGACCGGTATTATATAGAGCTTTCGACACTCGATGGGTCATATAGCACACTGGCTGTCTTTACTTCCCACGACTTTCACCTGGTGTTCAATTTTCCATGGGCTGTGTCGAACTGAGAGCCACAGTCAAGTTTGAAAAAAAAAATTAGAAATCAGCCACAGTATAGATTATAACTTTAGATCTTCAGCCAACAGGAGAGCGTCAAACTAATAACATGAAGTGGTGATAATGATTATGATGGTGATGATGATGATGATGAGTTAGTTAGTTAGTTAGTTAGTTAGTTAGTTAGTTAGTTAGTTAGTTAGTTAGTTAGTTAGTTAGTTAGTTAGTTAGTTAGTTAGTTAGTTAGTTAGTTAGTTAGTTAGTTAGTTAGTTAGTTAGTTAGTTAGTTAGTTAGTTAGTTAGTTAGTTAGTTAGTTAGTTAGTTAGTTAGTTAGTTAGTTAGTTAGTTAGTTAGTTAGTTAGTTAGTTAGCTAGTTAGTTAGTTAGTTAGTTAGTTAGTTAGGTTATCATCATTGCACTCCGGACATGTCCATAGGTACTCAGATCCTCCCCTCAGTATGAACCCCAACGTCCGATGGCAAAAAGTACCAGTTCTATGTTGATTAACAAGTCTTCTTGTATGTCTGGTGTGCCTCTTGTTTTTGCTATGCCGATCTTAATTCCCAAAGCTGCCATTCTGGCGAGTGATGTGGAGTGATGATGATTAATGTCAGATAAACATGATAAAAATATTTTTTTTTGAATATTAAATGTATAAAACTAACAAACGTGCCAGAGACAAAATTAACAAATTTGCTGGACACCAGGAGTCTCTCTTGGCAGTGATGAATCGTCGCGACCTAGCTTAGTTCGGGCACGTCGTGAGACATGATTCAAGACTGTGCTTCAAAGAACATTGGAGTGTAGTCGAAGAATAGGGCAAAGAAGAATCCGGAATGAAAACATCAAGAAATTGACAGGTTTCAGTTATCATACACTTGCTCTCTCACTTGCTCGCTTTCTCACACTTTTTCTCTCTTGCTCTCTCACTTGCTCTCTTTGTCACACTTTTTCTCTCTTGCTATTTAACCCCCCCCCCCCCTTTACTATGTCTCTCGCTATGTGTGTATTTACCTCTCCACCCTCTCCTAATTTTTAATATTCCTCTTCTTATGTCGTTGCCCTTTGAGGTTATTAAGGTTTGCGATGCAATGCCTGTCTGTCGTTATCGGTGATTCGAAAACCGTCACCTGTGCCTGTGTAAACATAGACTTTGCCAGTTAAGCCCAGAAATATAATGTTTCTTCTAAAATAAACAGGGGCTTATATTCATTCTTTCTCCTTGAGGCGCTTTGGGTTAATTTTCTGAGGCTGTCTTATTTTTCATGTAAAACAGTCTATATTTGTTCACGTACAAAATCTTTATTTTTTTCCATACAAAAATATCAGCAATTTCTGTCTACAGGATCTTTGAGTTCGTGTCTATACGGATATGTCAGCCGAAAACGCAAGCAGAAAGCAGGAGTGTATATTGAGCATCCAAATAATACCAGATTTACAACCAAAAGTCCTTAAGAAAGAGAATAGGGGCTTTTGAGCTGAAATGCTATAAAGAAAGATTCTCAGAATACCTGGGACAAAGAAGAGGAGAAATACTGCCATCTTAAAAGACCTGAACATCAAGGACAATAGGCTAATAAACATCATCCTGTCTCGGAAGCTTAAATATTTTGGTCATGTAAAGCGCCACGACGGATTTGAAAAAAAAAAATATCAGAAGGAATGGTACCAGGAAGGAGGGGCAGGGGCCGACTGACACGAAGATGGGCACAGTATATAAGTGACTCCCTGGGTATGAAAGTACACGAGGCGGGAGAACTGGCGAGAGACCGAGTTTCTTTCAGGCAAACTGTGATGAGAGCGACGTTCTGCAAAGGACCTGTTACATGATGATGATGATACAACCAAAATACCTATAGGAAAGCACTGTCACAAGTATGCTGCAAAAAAATCAAGCTATCAAATTAGCAGGAGAGAAACTGTTAAATATACGTCATATTTCACAAACCTCTGGTAATCCTAACAGATGCAAGAGCGGTACTTCAGGCACTCCAATCTGGAAAAAATACCTGGTATTTGAACACTACTCTCCAAACTAGGCAACCGGTGTAAGGTAACTGTGCTATGGATACTATCCCATTGTAGAGTTCCTGGAAATGAAAGAACTGATGAAATAGCTAAGAAGAACAAACGAAGAACAATCTGATGCACCAGTCTTTTATCGACAAAAGAAGAGAGTAATCAAATCAATCAGAAAGCCATCAAAACCGCAACAAGGCGATTACCATATTATGGACAGAGCAGATCATGTTATTATCTTACGCCTTAGAACAGGACACAATCGATTTGGCAGCCACATGTACACAAAATTTAAAATCGGCAAATGTGAACTGGCACCTGAGACAACAGATCACGTCCTCCAAAACTGTCCCAAATACACCATATCAAGGCAAAACTTGTGGCCAAGAGAATCATCGGTGCAAGCCGAACTTTACGGGTCACTGAGTGAATTACAAAAGACCGATAATTTCATACTAGAGACAACATTGCATAAATAGATAATATATTTCAAGCAAGTGAAAGAAGAAGAAGAGGGTACAATTTCTACGTTTACCATGTTGTATAACATTATATAACATGCTTCTTTTCTGACAGAACGTGTGCCATTAGTCGCGACACGCAGAGGGATATAATGAGGATAGTATCCGAGCGCAAATGGGCTTGTTCGATGTTCTTCTTCATTTCTCAACTTATGGAATGCCTCGCTGCGTCAGGGGAGGAGGAGATCTATAGAACGGGTTACTTCTGTTCACTTCAGGAAGAGATCTCTAGAACGGGCACTTCTGTTTGCTTCGTATATGGTACTTTTCAGTATCTGATATTTCTGCGGTCCATATTCTGCATGGTCGATCTCAGGGTCTGTTACCAATGTATCTGTATAACATTGCTCTCTGTGGTGCCCTGTCTGCTGCCAATCTTGTTACATGGCCAAACCATTTGATTTGTTGTCTACCTATAAAGTTTAGTATTGGTTCTGTGCCGACTCTCGTCCTGATATCATCGTTCCTAAGTCAGTCTTTCCTTGTTAAACATAGCGTAGTATATAGTAAACATGTCAGCAGCTTCCGCATCTTCTGAAGCTTTGCTCGTGAGTCCTGGCCATCTAGTTTAGCCCCAAACAACGTCGCGTGAGCATCGTGGGTGACTGGTGGCGGTAGTCGCCGGAAAACCGCCAGAGAACCGCAACTTAGGTCATATGACTGTGGCTCGAAAGGATATTTTGCGGCCGCCATCTTTACCGACAGTTATTCGGAGGATAGCCGGCCAGCCATAGCAACCACAGTGTCAGCAAGATAGTCTGCACGCTCGTTCCATTGAACACCCGCATATCCTGACACAAGGATGAAGGTTAGGGTCGATATTCGTGAAGTGCTTAGTGTTGCAATCCATTCTTGCCCAATAAATCCAGCTTTGATTTTTTTAAAGCATGTTCATTGACGTTACATTCGTTTGATGAGGAACATCTGACGATTAACTAACATAAGGAGACAGAGGCAAATATTTAAATTGCCTGTGTATTTAATTGTTCACTTAAAAATGTGATTGCAAAGTATTTTTATTGGTAATAAGATTTGACAGATAATCGATAATCAATCTTTAGTAGAAATAAAGCCTCTATTTATTTTCAATTTATGTAATTAAACCATTTTTCAGAATGCCATTTGTTCCAAGACTAATAATGTACGCTCCAGGCATTAGATCCATTTTAACTAACTAGAAGACGAATTGTTCTTCACTTCCGATCTGCTATAAATGTCGCCATTGTTGTTTTCCAACGAAAGGCAATAACAGTGACACATTTCACATCTTTGTAAGTGTATAATAGTATAATTTACGCATATAACTTAACATTTGTTAGAGTTGACAGTATATTGTAAAAAGTACTCATCTTTAGAAGTATTTTTACTCTGTGACCATGTTGATTACACTAACAGATTGCATAGTTCAAAAAGATCGTAACCTAATGATGCGTAAAACCACGAAGAAGAGGGTGGGTGTTGTGATGTGAAAATCAGAAGAAGCAGCTAACAACAGTGATGAATCAGTTCTGCTGACTGCGACTGAATTACGACAGTCTTGCTTTACTTCCCTAATTTTTGGTATAATCAACTCTACTTTAACTTGAACAATATGTGTAGTTCAGTTCGCCTAATTTTTTTTTCATCCATAAGCAGAGCCGGGAG